CCCCACCTGTCCCTCCCTTGTCCCTCTGTCCATCTGTTCAGACACCCGTCACCTGCTCCCCCTTGTCTCATCCACTTACCGTCCACCCACCCACACCCCCATCCATCCGTCTATCCATCCTTCCATTTATCCATCCACCCACCCCACTCTATCCGTCCGTTTATTCATCCACCATCTATCCATCCATTCATCTCCCCACTGCGTCCCTCCGTCCACCCACCCACACCATCCACCCATCCATCCATCCATGACTCCATTATCCATCTATCTGTCCATCTCTCTTTTATCTCCTTGTCCATCCACCCGTCCTTCCATCCACTCAACAGAATCAGAAAAGTCTGGCAGAGCGTAGTGTGTTGACTGTGCTTCTAGTAGGTTACCAGAACCTAAAAATCTGGCACATGGAAAGAGCTCAACCAGCATGTTAAAGGGGTGTGAGCTGGCCTGTCATGCCAGCCCTTTGGGAGGCTGAGGCGGGAGAATCACTTGAGGCCAGGAGTGAGACAAGCCTGGGAAACATAGTGAGACCCTGTGTCGAGGGAGGGAGGAAGGAAGGGAGAGAGGAAATCAGTCCTGGTGCAGTGGCTTAGAAAGAAAGAAAGTCCGGTCAAAGCAAGTAAATCATCAAAATGCATGCCTGGGGAGTGACTGCCTGGAGTCAGCCACTGGCCACAGGCTTAGGGCTCGAATGTTCCCCTTGTCTGGTGTCCTGGAGAGGAGTAGCCCGATGGGGAGGGGGGTGCGGGGGAGTGTTGAAGATGAGACACGTGGCTTTTGTGTTCAGGTGTTTTTTCTTTTTTTCTTGAGTCGGAGTCTCACCCTGTCGCCCAGGCTGGAGCGCAGGGGCACACTCCCGGCCACTGCAGCCTCGACCTGCTGGGCTCAGGTGATCCTTCCGCCTCAGCCTTCCAAGGAGCTGGAACTACAGGCACGCTCCACCATGCCCGGCTAATTTTTTTTATTTACTGTAGCGACGAGGACTCACTATGCTGCCCAGACGGGTCTCGAACTCTTGGGCTCAAGTGATCCTCCCGCCTCTGCCTCCCAAAGTGCTGGGATTGCAGAGATGAGCCACTGCGTCCGGCCCGTTTCATTCTTCAGAAAAAATTTTTTCTTTTACTGGGTGTGGTGTCTCACACCTATATCTCAGCACTTTGGGAGGCCGAGACAGGAGGAATGCTTGAGTCCATGAGTTTGAGACCAGCCTGGACACCACAGTGAGACCCATCTCTACGGGTCTTGCCTGTGGTCCCAGCTACTCAGGAGACTGAGGTGGAAGGACTGCCTGAGCCCAGGAGTTCAAGTTTGTGGTGAGCCCTGGTCATGCCACTGCACCCCAGCTTGGGTGACACAGTGTCAGAAAAGGAGGGGTTCAAAATAATTATGGATACACAGCCTGCAAAAATAGTAAAAAAAAAATTCTCTAGATTCTCATTCTTGAGGGCTCCAGAGAGGTTTGGTCACTTACGTTTATCAATATTTATCACATTAGAAATAAAAGCTGGAATTTTTAATTTTTAAATAAAAATAAAGGCGAGGTCTCACTATGTTTCCCAAGCTGGTCTTGAACTCCTGGGCTCAAGCAGTCCTCTTGCCTCAGTCTCCCAAAGCCCTGGGATGACAGGTGTGAGCCACTGTGCCTGACCTAAAAACTGGAAACTTTTTTTTTTTTTGAGTTGGAATCTCACTCTGTCGCCCAGACTGGAGTACAGTGGCCGCTCCCAGCCACCGCAGCCTCGCCTGCTGGGCTCCCGCAATCCTTCCGCCTCAGCCTTCCAAAGAGCTGGAACTACAGGTGCACGCTACCACACCCCGCTATGGTTTTGATTTATTGTAGAGATGAGGTCTCGCCAAGTTGCCCAGGCGGGTCTCGAACCTGGAGGCTCAGGCAATCCACTCACCTCAGCCTCCCAAAGCGCTGGGATTACAAGCTGAGCCACCGAGCCCGGCTAAAGCTGGAAACTTTAATGAACATCACTAAACACATGCAGTTTCGCATAAGTGACGTTTTTTACTAATGAAAAGTAACTACTTCCCCAAACAACAAAAACCGTTAGTAAGAATCGCATTGGCTTGCATTTTCAAATCCCTTTAATGTCTGACTTAGCAGAAGGCAGATGGATTCTTGCCGCTGTTTCTGCCTTCACTCTGTGATGTGTTGGTTCATGTTAATGAAGAAAATTGGGCCTCACGGATGCATCCCTGGGAAGAGAGGAGTATTTTAATCACCTTTTCAGACGGTTGAGGCCATGCTTTGATATGTCTCCACACTCCTTAAAGACCAGGGTCACGGGGACTCTGAAACCTTCACGGTGACCTTTTCATGTGTGTGTTGCATGGACATCCAGGGGTCTGTCTTGCACTTGGGCAGCACCTTTTACTTCAGCACTGTGGAACGTCATGCGTGAGTCATTGGAAAAATTGAATCTCCCAGGGCGATGCAGACCTTCCAAGTGATGACACGTTTCATTATAAAATATCAAGGGGGGGCTGGGCGCAGTGGCTTGAGCCTGTCATCCCAGCACTTTGGGAGGCCGAGGCAGGAGGATCATGAGGCAGAAGGATCACTTGAGGCCAGGAGTTCGAGACCAGCCTGGCATCATAGCGAGACCTCATTCCTACCAAAAAAAAATTAGCCAGTCATGATGGCACACACCTGCAGTCCCAGCTAGTCAGGAGGCTGAGATGGAAGGATTGCCTGAGCCCAGCAGGTGGAGGCTGCGGTAAGCCGTGATCATCATGAACGTGCCACTGCGCTCCAACCTGGGCGACAGCGTGAGACCCCTAACTCAGAAAAAAAAAAAGGTGTAGGCCGGGTGTAGTGGCTCAAGCCTGTAATCCCAGCATTTTGGGAGACCGAGGTGAGAGGACTGCCTGAGCCCATGGGTTCGAGACCTGCCCAGGCAATTTGACAAGACTTCATCTCTACAATAAATCAAAAATTAGCTGGGCATGGTAGCACGTACCTGTAACTCCGGCTATTCGGAAGGCTGAGGCGGAAGGATCGCCGGAGCCTGGCAGGTCGAGGCTGCGGTGGCTGGGAGCATGCCCTTGCACTCCAGCCTGGGTAACAGAGTGAGACCCCACTCAAAACAAACAAACACATAAAACAAGGCATCAAACTGGTTCCTGTGACCCTTACTCATAGCTGCAGTAGTGACAGTTGAGCTTGTAACGCAAACACCACGCGTGCTTCTCCTCCTGCTTCAGAATGCCACAGACGAGCTACGTGTGTGTTTCACGCTTCCTTCTCAGCGGGCAAGACCTAGTAAAAGTACCCATTTCAGGCTCCATCAAGGCCGTTCTTCCTTTTTTTTGAGTCGGGGTCTCTGTCACGCAGGGTGGAGTGCAGTGGCGTGATCACAGCTCTCCACAGTCTCTGACTCCTTGGCCTCCAGAGTGGCTGGGATAATGGGCGTGCATCACCACACCAGGCCAGTCATTTTTATTTTTAAAAAATATTTTGAGCCGGGCTCGGTGGCTCAGCCTGTAATCCCGCGCCTTTGGGAGGCTGAGGTGAGTGGATTGCCTGAGCCTGCGGGTTCGTGACCCACTTGGGCAACTTGGCGAGACCTCATCTCTACAATAAACCAAAAATTAGCCAGGCGGGGTAGCGCGCCTGTAGTTCGGCTACTTGGAAGGCTGAGGCGGAAGAATCGCCGGAGCCCAGCAGGCGAGGCTGCGGTGGCCGGGAGCGGCACGGCACTCCAGTCTGGGTGACAGAGTGAGACTCCGACTCAAAAAAAAAAAAATTTGTAGAGGGTAGATCTCACTGTGTTGCCCCAAGCTCGTCGCGAACTCCTGGGCCCAAGTGCTCCTCCTGCCTCGGCCTCCCAGAGTGCCGGGATTTCAGGTGTGAGCCCCCACCCCCGGCCAAGCCTGTTCATACGTGAACCTGGCGCCGTGAGGGCACGGCCTGAGGAACACAGAGACTGAGGACAGGCTGGGACCCTGCTCTGACCTGGGTGAAGGCAGCAGCCCCTTCCCCCACTGCCTTGGCCCCGTCAGAGTGAGGAGGGCTGAGGACGTCTTAGTACCGTTACGAGGAACATTTTCACTCCTTGCAAGGGTCCTGGGGGTCCCTGTGGGCCTACACTCTGAGAACCCTTCCTCTAACTCAGGGCTTCCTCAGTGCTGTTGACTTTTGCTGGCCATCCTGTGCATCGAGCAATGTGTAGCAGCATCCCTGGCCTTGACCCACTAGACGGATAGATGCCAGATTACTGTCCACCGCCACGCCAACCTGGCGATGGTGACAGCCAAAAACATCATTAGATATTGCCAAATGCCCCCCCCACCCCAGGAGGGGAACTAAACCATCCCTGGTGGAGACCCAGTGCTCTAGCTAGTAGATGGCAACTAAGTTTCATCTCATGAGAAGGAATTGAGGCGCCACATCCAGTTTCACTGGATGGTGCATAAGGATTGATTAGCAATGTCTGCCATGAGTATAGCCTCAGGATTGATTAGCAGTGTCTACCGCAAGTGCAGCATCAGGATTGACTAGCAATGTCTACCGTGAGTGTAACGTCAGGATTGATTAGCAATGTCTACTGTGAGTGCAGCATCTGGATTGATTAACGATGCCTGCTGTGAGGGTAACATCAGGATTGATTGGCAATGTCTGCCATGAATGTAACAGGATTGATTGGCAATGTTGACGCTGAGTGCAGCATCTGGATTGATTAGCAATGTCTGCCATAAGTATAGCATCAGGATTGATTAGCAGTGTCTACTGTGAGTGCAGCATCAGGATTGATTAACAGCGCCTACTGTGAGTGCAGCATCAGGATTGATTAGCAATGTCTATTGTGAGTGTACCATCAGGATGGATTACCATGTCTGCTGTAAGTGCAGCATCTGGATTGATTAACGATGTCTGCTGTGAGTGTAACATCAGGATTGATTAGCATGTCTACTGTAAGTGCAGCATCAGGATTGATTAACGATGTCTGCCATGAGTGTAACATCAAGATTGATTAGTAACGTCTACTGTGAGTGCAGCATCTGGATTGATTAGTGATGTCTGCCATGAGTGCAGATGGGCAGGAATAGGTGGTGTGTTGGAATGATGAGTGATGTCCTCCAGGGGTGCAGAAGGAAAAAAGTGGGAGCACAGCTCGCTGTGGTCCATTGTAGGTGTCACCCGGGGTTTCTGGGACTCTGCATTCTGATCGGCCGTCCTCGTCCGGCTCCCGCTTACGGCTCCCCTCCCCGCAGGTGTTCATCGAGGACGTCAGCAAGGAGTTCGTGGAGGAGTTCATCTGGCCCGCCGTGCAGTCCAGCGCGCTGTACGAGGACCGCTACCTCCTGGGCACCTCCCTGGCCAGGCCCTGCATCGCCCGCAAGCAGGTGGAGATCGCCCAGCGCGAGGGCGCCAAGTATGTGTCTCACGGCGCCACGGGCAAGGTGAGGAGGAGGAGGGCGGGCACCAGGGGGACCAGGGGGACCCGGACGACCAGGGCGGTGGGCAGCCCTCGACCCTCCGGCGTCGGGGGTTTGCTTCCAGAACCGTGGGCGGGTCGGTTTCGCCCAGACCCCGCGGGGGGCACCCTCGCAGCCCACTCCTGTGCTCCGGGGCCGTGATGTCCCCGTGGTGGGAGCCGTGACACCCCGCGAGGCCATCTTGGTGCTGAGGTGGCCCCAGCACGCGTCCCCATGGGACGTAGCGGAAGGGGTCAGAACCCCAGCTGGCAGAGCGGGGTTCAAGCTCCAGCCTTGCTGTGGCGCGCCGTGGGCCTGTGGGCAGGGGAGTCTCTTCCCCGAGCCTCCTGTCTTCATTTGCAAAACGGGCATCCCTTGAGGGCTGGGGTCTTCGCTTCCCGGAGCTGCCGGCGCAAACGCCACCGACGGGCGGCTTCGGGCGCCGGAACGCCCTGGCTAGGGGATCTGGAGGCGGGGAGCCCACGGCCGGGCGTGGGCAGGGCCAGCCCCCGCAGAGGGCCCAAGGAAGGGTCGTGGCCTGGCCGTCCCCAGCTCCCGGCAGCCTCAGTCCTCGGTGTGTGGCTGCGTCGCTCCCGTCCTCGGCCTCTTCCCTCGCGTCGGCCTCTGCGGACGTCTCCCTGCTTATCAGGACCCTGGTCTACGGGGTCAGGGCCCACCCTGGTGACCTCCTCTTAACCTCCGTAAAGGCCACGTTGAGGACCGGACACAGGGGCTCAGCCTGAAATCCCTGCACTTGGGGAGGCCGAGAGGGAAGATCCAGGAGTTTGAGACCGGCCTGGGCGACAGGGTGAGAGCTCGTCTCTACAGAGTCGAAAAATTAGCCGGGAATGGTGGCATGCACCTGTGGTCCCAGCCTCTCAGGAGGCCGGGACAGGAGGATTGCCTGAGCCCAGGAGGTCGAGGCTGCGGTGAGCCGTGATCGTGCTTCTGCCCTCCAGCCTGGGTGGTAGAATGAGACCTCGACTCAAAAAAAAAAGAACTGAAAAATGAAAGAAAAATAAAAAGACCACACAAGGTCACTTTTGGGGGCGCCAGGGCCTAGGACCCGAATCTTTCTTTTCAGACATTAAAATCAGCCCCTCCCGCACCCCCACCTCCAGCCCGAGTGGGCACCAGGGCTGCAGGGGGACCCTGCGGGTTACGCGGGGGAAGCCCTCGGCTTCCTGCCTTGAGAACCGAATTCCTGACAATGTTGGCAACTGGTGGGGATTGTTTGGTTTTTTTGAGTCGGAGTCTGGCTGGAGGGCAGTGGCCGCTCCCGGCCAACACAGCCTCGACCTGCTGGGCTCCAGCAGTCCTTCCACTTCAGCCTTCCAAGTAGCCAGAACTTACAGGTGTGCGCCACCAGGCCCGGCTAATTTTTGATTTATTGTAGAGACAAGGTCTCGCTGAGTTGCCCAGGCTGGTCTCGAACCCGCAGGCTCAGGCAATCCCCTCGCCTCAAACTTCCAAAGTGCTGGGATTGCAGGGTTGGGCCACTGCGCCTGGCCAGGGATTGTTCTTTAATGGCTCTTGAGTCGTAAGCCCTCTGGACGAGCGGACGCCACTCCAATACCCGGCACAGGACCTGGCTGCTTACCAGCCCCACAGTCAGGAGGCTCTGAGCCTCCCAGGGACAGAGAGCTCACTACCTCTCCTGCCTGGGCTGGCGGAGACCCTGGCTCCCTGGGGTGCAGGGACACACGCAGCCCCGGTTACGATGGAGGGGACACGATCTGCCCAGTAGTCGCCCACCGGGACGGCGCCGGTCCTGTCTTTGAAGCTCGTGCATTTGTATCCTTTTTGCAGAGACGGGGTCTGGCTATCTGCCCAGGCTGGTCTCGAACTCCCGGGCTTGAGCGATCCTCCTGCCTCGGCCTCCCAAAGTGCTGGGATGACCGCACCTGGCTGCATCTGCGTGTTTCCTTGGGCACGGGTCAGCAAGCTTGTCCCGGGCATCCGTGGCGGGCTGGGTGCTTGCCGGAAAGGGCACAGTGCGGCACCTCTCGGGCCTGTCGCTGGCCTCGGGAGCCCACGGCCCAGCGGGAGAGGAAGGAACTGATGTGGGGACGGCGGGAGCGCCAGTCCCAGGGGACGGCCGGCAGGGGCCGAGCTTCGCCTCCCACAGAGCCTGGCCCTGAAGGGCGTCCGGTGAGCCAGCAGCAGGGTGTGGGAAGAGGCTGCCAGGCAGCGGAGCAGCCTGTGCGAAGGGCTGGAGCCAACAGGCCCTGAGCGTCGTGTCTGGGGGACACGAAGCAGGAGCTGTTGCCACGGAGGAGCCGGGGGGCCGGCGGGCCGTGGTGCCAGGGAGGCTGCCTTCGTCCCTGGCCGGATGGGACTTTGTGCCGGCCACAACGAGGGAAGAGACTTGTGACG